CAGGCATCCCCCAGGGGCCAGGCGCCCTCCCCTTTGGTTGCTGGTTGGGTCACTCACATGGACAGTGATAGGGCCAGGGTGTCAGATGTGTTCCATGCTTACCCAGCACTGTCTGTGGCCTTGCTACCTGCACCTGTTCTTTGCCCCAGAGATGAATTCCCATTTAGATTATTTTTGAAAAGTGCTTGTTTTTGACCCCAAGAAAGAAGTTTGCCCTGCCTCACAGAAATGAGTTTTCAGAAGGCCCTTTCCTGCCTGCTTTTCTGTGCTCTTGGGCCATCACATGCATGTTGCGGGAGGACATGTGGGTGTGTATTAAACGAGCCTTGGCGTTCTTGAGGACCCTTTAAACTAAAGGCCGGCTCAGGTTTCCAGCAGTCTTGTCCTCTCCCGGGCACATCCCAGCTTTTACTTCTCTGCTGCGCACCATTCACGTGGTGACTTGGCATACCTTCTAGCTTTTGAGAAGATGGCTGCCATGTAAACTGTCTCCTCCTTTCTTCCTGCGGGGTCTGGAAACTTTCAGGACTTCCTTTAGGGTTTTATGATCCTTTTTATATCTATAAGTATAGACTCTTTTCTCGGTTTTGACCTGAATTACATGACTTTTAATTTGTGTCCTTTTAAACCCTAGGAAAGGGATAAAGTGATGCCCCTAATTATACAGGGTTTTAAAGATGCAGCAGAGGAGGCAGGAACGTCTGTAACGGGCGGCCAAACAGTGTTAAACCCCTGGATTGTTTTGGGAGGAGTGGCTACAACTGTCTGCCAGCCCAATGAATTCATCATGTAAGTTGGTTTTATTCTTTGTCACCTGGCCTTGTTCTCTTTCTTAAGATAGATTCATTGAGATAGAATTTGCATCCCATAAGATTCACCCATTGAAAGTATACAGTTCGGTGGTTGTTAGTATATTCACAGGGTTTTGCAGCCATCACCAGAGTTGGTTTTAGAACATTTTCATCGCCCTGACAAGAAACTCCCCATCCTGGCTTCTTTCAGTCCACATGCTATTAGCAGAATATTTTCACAGTTCATCTATTTTTGTAGCATGTATCCATTCTTTGTTCCTATTTTTTAAAACTTTCATATCTTTACATAACATAAAATCCAACATTTCAGAATATATACGTCATTGTTTTCTTTGTAGTCAACAAGATTGTGCAACCATCACCATTATCCAATTCCAGAATATTCCAGTCACCCCCAAAAAGAAGGCCTGTATTTATAAGCAGTCACTCTGAATTCCCTCCTCCCTCCATCCCACGGAAACCCCCAGTCTGCTCTCTGTCTCTGGATTTGCTGATTCTAGCTAGCCCTTTTCCTTTTTGCCCCAAGGTAACCTCCCGGGTTATAGTCCTAACCTTACCGCCAGAGTTTGCCTTGAAATATCTTGCTTTTATTATTATTTTCACACAGCTCTAGTATATTGATAGTCTTTGGAAACAAATGACATCATTCTATTTATAGCATTCTTTTTTTGGTAGTTCGATTGCTGAAAATGTCAAATCCTAGAAAATGTGGCATTCCTACACAAGCTGCACTTTTTTTTTCTAAACGAGAAAAGGGCTAGACATTACATGTAGATAGAATCACATAATACGTGGTGTTTTGTGTCTGGCTTCTTTCACTGAGCGTAATGCTGTCGAGAGTCCTCCATGTTGTAGCATGCACCAGTACTTCATTCCTTTTTATAGCTGGATAATATTCCAGTGTGCGGACATATCGCAGTTTATCTGTTCATAGGTGGTAGACCTTTGGGTTATTTCTGCCTATTACGAACGACGCTGCTATGGACATGCATGTGTAAGTTTCTGTGGGCGTATGTTTTGATTCTCTTGGCTGTATGTACCCGAGAAATACCAGATCACGTGGTAACTGTTTAACTTGAGCAACCGTCAGACTGGTTCCCAGCAGCACTGTGGGACAGGGAGGCCACGTCTGTCTCCACAGCCTCTTCAGCGTTTGTGTTACCGTGTTCTGAAGAGAGCCATCCCGGTGGGCTCAGGTGTTCTCTCACTGTGGTCTGCTTTGCCTTTCCCTCGTGGTCAGTGATACTGGCAGCTTTTTTATTGCTTTTTGGCCATCTCAGATCTTTGCCAGAGCAAGCACCATCTCTAGATCTTTGGAGAAGTTTCTCTCAACACAGATTGTCACTTTCCATGTTTGATATCTCGTTAAGAAAAGCTACCCTGTTCTGTTTTCTGAAGGAAGCAGAAACTCCACGTGTTTCTCTCCTTTTGTGAGTAGGCACTGACAGGCAGCATGTTCGCGTGGCTCAGAATCCAGAAGGTGTAAAAGGCTGTACCCTGCCATCCCTCCCCGCCCACGTCACCAGTGTCCCTGGAGGCAACTGCTTTGACCAGTCTTTGGTAATCTGGGTGCCAAGTAGGAAACTTTTTGGTCAGTCTGAGTTTGAAACTTCGATGCCAGAATCACCAAAATATTAGATCCGCAGTTTGAGCAAATCCCACAGCCTGAGAACCAGTCTTTGTTTCCAGAGTCCTGTTGCCTCAGGAGCATGGCTGACTCGGGGCCTGATGAGGCCTTTGTCTTCGGAGGCTAAGGGTTTGCCTCTGCCTACACTTAGGAGCGGGGCAGTAGATCGAGTAGGTAATGGATGGACGCTTCAGTTTTCTTCTAATGTCTTTGTCCCAGCAGTAGTAGCTCCAGAAGCAGGTTGGAAAGCTCTAATTCACGGTGGTAGTTGGCTTAAATTTAAGTAAGTGTTCTCAGATGCAAACATGTTTTTAGCAGCCTTTTCTTTCTCGTATTTACCGATGGTGATTTTATGGCCTTTATTAATTTGACCAGACCCTGCCCTTGTTCTTTTCTTCAGGCCAGATAACGCAGTGCCTGGGGACGTGCTAGTGCTGACGAAGCCCCTGGGGACGCAAGTGGCCGTGGCCGTGCACCAATGGCTGGATATTGTGAGTGACCCTGCCTGTGCTGGGGAGTTGGGGAGCTGAACAGAAGTTTTCAGGGTCACAGTAGTTTTGTTGGAGGGTTTGGGGACGAGGGCATTCATTTACACGTCAGGCCGAGTATCCCTTTAGTCTGCTAGCTCTGGAGTATGCTTTTACTAGAAGACGCATCTGCTTCTGGTCCACAGCAGAAGCCCTTCCCTTGGACACATTTTAACATGTTTCAGGTCTACATCTTCTAAATGTCATCAGCTTGTCTCCTAAAAATGAGCTCCTGGGAACTCAGTATCAGTTATGTGCTTATAGAAATTATAGGAATTGTCCATGTTCTTAATCACAGTTTCATGTATTGAATGCTTAAAGTAGGGAAGTCCCAGCTCGAGGCTTCAGAGAAGCTCTATAAAGAGAATTTGGGAGGCAGTGAGTTTGGTTTATTTGGTGCCAAGATAGTTTTATCTTTCATATCTTAAACATCACTGAAAAAACAATATGGAGGGGAATGTGTGGAAAGTGCAGAGCTTGGGTGTAAAGAAGGCAGGGTTATTGACACTTTAAATTATGTTAGTCATGAGGTTTTTGATTGTTTTGCCTTTCTAAACTAATTAGTAACTCAGCATTTTGATAAACAATTGTCTCATGGAGAAAGTATCAAGAATATGAAGATATGTATCCTGAGACACTTCTCCACTGAGCTATAATCATACTTCATTTAAGATTTTTCTCATTGCCGTAACAACTCAAAAATTAATATGATTGTGGTATAGTTCACATATCTTGGTGCTTTTAATTTCTGCAACTGTCATCTGAAACTACCAGTCCTGATAAACAGTTGAAAAAGAAGAATAATTTTATTATTCATCAACCAAGTATGTTAGCTTGTTATAGCAGAATAGAGAAAATCTCTAAGGCTACCAATCTTTAGTTATTTTTCCCTTCTTGTCCAGTGATGATGGGGAGGTTTCCCATCTGGTATGATGTAGATTATACTCCCACCAAGTATGACCATCCGCAGATCTCACTGGAAGGCCGTTACAGAGCAGTAATCCACAGAGTTGTTTTGCAGTACAGCCACCCAGGTCTGAGTAATTTAGGAGGAGAGGCAGAGGCAGATAAGGCAAAGGTGCATCAAAGATGAGGGACTTGGGTTCGTTCTCTCCTCTCCACCAACCTGACACCTCCTTTGTTTTTTTTTACCAGTTTTAAAAAATGCTCAGAATCAAAGCAAGTTCCAGAGACTATGTCACAGCACAGTACCCTTTTCATAAAATTCAGAAGCAACCAAAGAGCATATTGTTTAGGCATCTGTGTGTATGTGAACACTGTTTTTTGCAAGGCAGGGGAATGACAGGTATAACACTCAGAACAGTTACTGCTCCTGAGGGAGAGATGGGGTGCGAGAGGAGAAGGGAGGACACAGACTTAAGCTACTGCACCGAGAGGTAGATTATTGGGTATTACTGAAAAATGAATGCATGCCTGAATGATGGCCATTAATGAACCACGGTGACAGTATGTCAGGAACCCCTAATTACGATGCTCGCTTCTCTTAAAGTCAGACCGAGGAGACAGGGAGCACCCCTTCCTCCTTACTTTGACGATACCCCGTGGTCTCCACGGCTGCTCTCAGGGCGCATGCAACCCAGGTTGCTTTCGCGTCCACTTGTCCATCAAGGTGACTTAAGTGGTCCAGAATTCAGGTAAAGACAGTAACAGTATAAATGTATGAAAAATGAAAGCCATCAGCTTAATAGGGGAGATGGGTTGGAGAACCAGACGACATTCACAGCTACCCACAGTGATTCACACGCTGCCACAGAGAAGCTGTTAGCTCGTTGCCTGCGCACCACAGCCGTAGGCCCCGCCGGGTTTGCGTGTCCGGTAAATGGCAGCGTTTGACTACAGAAGTGCAGTTGAGAACCAGAGGATACCACGATGCTGTGTCTAACGGACATCTAAAGTCACAGTCGGGGGGAAGGTTAGAAAACTTAATATTGCGTACAGAATTAAATACAACTCCCCAGAAGATGGCTAAGGAAAAAACAGAGCTTTTCTTTCAGTGGTTGGAAGTAAAAATTAACCACATTTTTTCTTTTTTCTCTCTCACCTATGTTCCTATTACTAGCCTGAAAAATGGAATAAAATTAAATTAGTGGTGACCCAAGAAGACGTGGAGTTGGCATACCAGGAGGCCATGATGAACATGGCAAGGCTCAACAGGACAGGTACTGTGGTGGGAGGCTGGCTGTTGCAGGGTCGACAAGCTTTTGAGACAGGGCCAAGATGGGAAATGTTCCAGGCTCTGCTGGCCATGCACAGTCTCAATTGTGTTGATTTTTTTTCCTCCACAATGCTTTAAACATTAAAAAAAAAAAAACCATTATTAGCTGGAAGAACAGGTCGTGGGCCAGATTTGGTCAGATCCTCTTCTGTTGGTCCCTGGTTTTAGACAGATTTGGATCTGAATATGGAATATGCATGTATTTCTTATATGTATTCCTTTCTGCCAAAAGGGGAAAATAGGATCCTATTCACAGGAATATTAAAAAGTCCATGAAGCACCAAAAAGAATGACTAGTATGCGGTATACAGATGTCACTCATTCAGTCCATACTTAATGAGCACCTATAGTGTGTCCTCTCTTCCAAGTGCTGGGGACACCACAGTGAACAAAACAGACACATCTTTGCCCTGTTGGAACTTACATACCACGTGCTAGTTTGCTTCCCAATACTCTGCACAGAGCAACCCACACAGATGCTTCTCTAGAAATCAAATCTGTGCAGGACTTAAGGAACAGCATGTAACACCACGTGCCCACCATCTCATATGAGAACCTGAACATGGCATTGGCAGCCCAGAAGGGCCCCTTCCACGCCCAGCTTCTGGATTCCCGCTTGGGGGTAACCACTGTGCTGAGTCTAATGTTTATTCTCATGCATTTAAAATTTTTATCACATAGTCTTGTATCCTTAAGCAAGAAGTTAGTTGTGCATTTTTTGCTTTATTGAATCATACCTGTATCTGTTTTTCTTATCGTGTTTCCCACTATTTAATGTTCCTGAGCTTCATCCCTGGAGTGTGTAGCTATTTCATTCATTTTCACCACTGTATGATTTTCCACTCTGTGACTAACTTACCTGGCCACCTGCTGTTGGGCGTTTGTGTGGGTTCCTACTGAAAACTGGCTTGGTCAGGGCTTCTCCCATTGCTCGTGTCTGAGAGGTTTGTACTGCCTCAGCTTTTCTAGATGGTGCTCATTGGTTCCCAGAGTGGTTGTACAGCACAGTTCATAATGGCACGCTGCATTTAAATTTTTTCTTTATTTTCTCTTCCTGTTTATTGTACATACTTTTTCTGCTGTAAAAAAAAGTATATATCCTTTATGGAAAAGTGTTTAGAATATGGAAAAAGGAAAGAAAAAATATTGTCCATAGTCTCGCTACCTAAAAACAGCTTCTGTTAATATTTTCATGTATTCTTTTAGGAATTTTTTTTCTGTTTGGTTGGTTGGTGGTTTACCATTGTTTTATTGTTAATGTTTTTAACTTGTGATTATCATACATTTTATATGTGTTTAGAATCTCCTTTTATTCGTTCAACATTACTAAATTCTGTTTTCCATATAATTCTAGTACACATTAATTTTTAATGGCTAGATGTTTTACCAGAGAGATATGCCATAATTAATTTACCTTTTGCCTACTTCTGAGCAATTTTATTTTGAGATCAAGTTTTTCCATAATTTTTTTCAGCATTCCAGGAATATTTCGTTGGCTATATTCCAGAGTCGAATAGTAATTATTTAATTCTTCGTCCTCAGATGTCTCCTCACTTACAACTGTGGCTTTTCATTCATGTTTCTGTTCCTGTGTCACTTACACTATTTAAAGAGTCTTTTTCCTTTTTTTGGTTCTTCAAATTAAGTAGTTTAACAATGAAAGATTATTTGTAATGGATTTATTTTTATCCATATGGATTATTATTTTGCTTATACTTTACTTGAGCACTTCAGATTCCCCATCCCTATTTTGGATACATGGTTGGTAGGAATACAGTATGGCAGAATGCTTATGGAGAAGTGTTTGGTCATATCTAGCAAAAATTATGCATCTGTTTATTTGACCTAGCAGTCCCACTTCTGTGAATCTGTCCCAAATCAGCAGTGGCCAAAATATAAAATGACGTGTGTACAAGGACATTCATTGGAGCACTATTTATAATTACAAAAAAAGGGAAGAATCCAAGCGACCATTAGTAGGGGACTGAATTATCTATCTAGTCTACCTGTACATGCTGGAATACTATAGAGCTGTTAAAAGGGGAGAGAGATCTTTATTACTAGGGAGCTGTCCCTAGGATTTGATCAAATGAAAAAGCAAGGGACAGAAGCATGTGTACAGTATGATACATTTTATGTATTTATATGAATATTAAGTGATACATAATTTATACTTTCAAAAAGAAGCAATGGAAAAATAAATCATTAATAAAAATTGTTACATGTAAGAGAATAGGGAGGAAGCAGACTTCTGAACATGCATTGTTTTATAAGTTTGACTTTGAAACGTATATAAATTTCTATAGTTGAAAAAAATTGAGCATATCTTATAAATGAAAACCAAATTAAAAAGAAAGCTGCCTAACATTTATCAACTTAGTGGAAAAACCACATGGGGAAAAATTATTTCAGATCACTCTGAGCCTGGTATTTTAGGTGTATATCCTCAGGACAAAAAAAGTCTCATTGTATTCAGTGGGTTTGTGTTTGCGAGAATGTTGGTAAGATAGATAAAGCAAATACTTTCATGTAGTTAGGAACAAAGATTTTAAGAATTAGAGAAAAGATCAAAGAAGCCAAGTAAAAACTATAATCTTTAATTTGGAATTCTCAGTATGAATTTGGGATTTTTCTCAAAAAAATGCTTATTGCTGTACCTATTGAAAAGGTCTAGAAGCAGCGATAACCCATTAATAATGAACTCCTGGTGCCTAGATTCCAATCTGAAAATTACCATTTTCCACTAAAAAATGCCAAGACTCCTTGGGGAAATGGCTGATTATAAATAACCCTGGGACAGGAATACAGAAGATAAGCCTGAGACATCCTGTCACTGAAAGCAATGGAGCTGTCAGTAACTAGTGAGATCATGCCACTTCACATAACTTGAAGAGGCCCTCACCAGTCAGATTGGTGTGGGCGGGACAATTTGAGTATTGAAAAGGAGAGTGACCACAGTCAGTTGAAGTATATCAGGTATCTAAAAGTCAGTGAGATCATAATGATAATTACGATGTTTTTGGTCACCTTCGGAAGTTGGCCAGGGCACCAGCTTGTTCTGAAAATAATGAAAAGAATCAAGCACATATTTTACTGTTCTTGTATGGACTGCATTTTGCGGGAACCAAATAATTTTTTTTTTTAATTCTTTATAGAAGAGTTACATCTGGTAAGTGAAGGAAGAATGATTGAATTACAATTTTGTTATTTTTGCTGCCCCTTTTATTTACAAAACCTCAACAACAATCAGTGGCTGCTAAAACTAGTCATCAAGACAGGGTCATATTGGTGAGAGAACAGAAAAATATTATCAGTGGAACAGAATAGAGTCCAGAAATAGAGCCACATCAATATAGTTCAGCTGCTCTTTGACACAAGAGCAAAGACAGTGTAATGGAGAAAGGATAATCTTCAACAAATGGTGCCTCAGCTGTCCATCCATAGGCAAAAAGTGATTATAGAACACAAGCCTTACACCTTTCATAAGAATTATGAATTGGATTGTAGACCTATATATAAAATGCAAAACTGTTGAACTCCCAGAAGATGACAGAATAAAATTTAGGTGGGTTTGCTGATGCCATTTTAGATATAACACCAAAAACAGTATCCATTAAAGAAAAAGCTGACAAATTTTCATTAATATAAAAAACTTATACTCTGTGAAAGACACCAAGGGATAAAAAGGTAGGCCCCAGACTGGGAGAAAATCTTTGCAAAACACCATTCTAACAAAGGACTGATATTCAGAATATACAAAGAACTCTTAAAACTCAACATTAAGAAAAGATCTGAACA